GGGTACACGGAGCGGACAACTGATGGACAACGAGCTAATGACCTGGGCACCAAGCCGAGCGACAAAACACTGCTTACTGGGAGACGTCAGATACGTGGCCAAATATACTGGCAGAAGAGAGAAACCCCTTGAAGAGTCTGCACGGGGTCTTCAACGTCACAAGGAGCAAGATTTGGAGCCGGTCTTGGCAGAACACGAAGCCGTGATCGTGGAAATTAAAAACCTGATGTATAAAGCTCTGATCCAGACTACGGAAACCAACGGCAATAACACCACTGCTGTGAAATGCTTCAAGGAGGACGTATGGAGAAACCCAACGGCTCCCCACCATGGGCTCCAGGTGAGACAACCCCTGGGCTAACACCAGCGGTCTCCAGTCTGCTGGTCTCAGCACCAGCGAGAACCCAGAAACCAGAGAGCGTCTGCTCACAGCCCTTGCCTGGATTTGGTTTAATTTGCAGGTATTTAATTGCAGGTGCAAGAATCACTTCTGACTTCAAACCGAAGTTACAGTCTAAGACCATAGTACTGAAGAGCTGAATCAGATGCAAAAGGGATCAGCAATACAGTAAAATCAAGTTTGGATCTGAAACTAAGAAACCTACTTATAAAACACGTATAAAACAGTTATTAACAATAAAATTGGTTTTGATTACATAGCTTTTTTAACCTTTTAAAAGCGTGACAAAACTAGCAGAGAGCAAGAGTGTGCGTGTGTGTGTGCCTGCTGAAAAGGGTTTCTGTATAATTACAAGCCCTCCGATCAGTATAGCTCTTGGCGCTAGAATATTTGTGGGGACAAAAAAAACCCATTTAAAATATGCTTGGTCTTTCTCAAGTCTTTTTACTACTCTCTGCCTTTGTTTGCCTTGCTTAGGAAAACCAGCTGGTATTAATTGCGCTTCGTACACCACCATCATGAACAGCAGCCAGATATCAGAAAATAAGGCCTAATCACAGGAATCCGCTCAATTGTTTAAAAAAACCCCCCAAAACAATTACTGTTCAGTGTTCGGAAAAGCAGTAAAACGAAAGCAATCAAAAGAAAAGGCAGGAAGGAGGCTGGTGTATGGAGAATGTGATAAAAATAAACTACAATCACAGAAGGAGAAACAGAAATCTAGGTTACTTAACGGTAATCAGACTCCTCTAAACATATTGTCTGCCGCAAGCAAAGCTCGGAGATGTTGCCTGCTCGTGCGGAGTGCGTAGCCCAGGTCTTGGCATGTGCCCGGTGGCAGAGACGGTGCAGAAGTGTCACGTAAGAAGTTAGAGATGGAAGAGATCTGTTATCTCAGCCTTTTCACCTTTTTCCTCGCACTCAGTCTTAAAATTATCCCTTCTGATGTCTTTGCTAGCTTTACTTCAAGTGATGGCTTCACCTGAGTACTGCATGGGAGAAGACATAAAATTCTGGACCTGGCACAGCTTTCCTTGCCTGAAGCTATGCTGTGAATTGTGTTGAGCTGGGAGTAGGTGGGAAAAAAAAAGGAATTTTGGAGAAAAAATATTGAAATACTGAAAAATATTGAAAAAAAGAATATTGATTCCTCAAAAAACTCATCCTGAAGCGCTGCAAATCAGGAGTCCCAGATGTAGCACTGGACCTAAGAGAGAAGCATTGACTCTCTCTGACAGCAATTCCTCTCTCTCTAAAATGGGAAAAGAATCAGGTTATTTGCAAAGATTTGCTAAGACTTCTAGTTTAATTGCAAGAAGTGTAAAGCCAAAATCTGCTCTTCTGTATGCGTGAGAAAGCAATTTTTTTGTCCCTCTCGTTAGATAAAGACACGGAGGTTGCAGACGATGGGAAGCACAATCACAAGTCAACTGATCTGTCATTTCGTGAGCCTTCTCCCCGCGTCGCTTGCCAACTGCAAACATGGAAGGGGCTCGCTTTAATTAATACCGGGTCTCAGCAGACCACTGGAGGCAGTGGCACTTGTTTTCAGGTCATCTGGTCCTAATAGGCTCACACTGGGAGGTGATTTGTTGCTAACTGACAGCAGAGATCAGTTAATGAGGGCTGAGGCCTTACAATCCATCGTAATGAACCTCAGGGCTATTTCTATATTATTTGTCATCATCATTTAAAAAAAAAAAAAAAACAAAAAAAAACGCTTGAGGAGATGCTGGTTATTAATCCAGATATTTACAATATAAAAATCACTCCCTGCTCTGCAGGATTTTCCCTGAGCTGCTCTGCATCGGGAATTGAGCACGCAATAAGCGGTGCTAAGGATTATCAGGACACAAGCTATTCTGCGGTAACACACACGTCGGTAGCGTCCCCAACGGCTCGTCTACATGACGACATCGGTGCACAGTGACTTCCTCTCATTTTCGCACACCCTACGTGCCATAGCATGCTCCACTTTGGAAGCAGACCTCCTTCCAACATCAGGAAGGAGAAAGCATCCATGAAGGCTGCCGCCTTTCCTCGCTCCCCCAACTACATCGATGGATCTAAGCAAAGCTCCTGCCTCCCCGTAACAACATTCTGACTCTCAGAGCACCAGAGCTACAAACCCACTGCTATTACAGAGCTCATGGTACTCTTTGCACACGCTAAGGGCATCCCAGTGGAAGCCCAGTCTGGTGGGGGCATCGTGGCACTTACACAAGAAAGCAGCAACACCTTCTCGGCATCTGCACCACTGAAGGAAGATTTCCTCTTGCACAAGCTTGAAATGCTGTAACTACAGAATACCGTGGCATCATCTTTCCTTGTGGTGCTTTTAAAACTGTCCCTGTAATGGCCAGCCGAGGCGTGCAAGATAACCAGGCACTGGGGCTGCTGCTGGAGATGCACCTACAAGTTATGTGGACAGATAAATCCCAGCATCGTTTCGGTTTCTGCATTTATTCAAAGCTTGTTGCTCTCTACAGACCACCGGGTCCTTCACCACCAGGGAGCAAACGGTACAACTAACGGAGGTGCAAACCACCACGGGACGAAGAGCTGATCTACCATCAGCAGACTGATGAGCCACCCACGTGTCACCAGCGGTGACAGCCACCCTGCAGTAACAGCAGGCCGCTGCTGGTTTGCTGTAATTTCTTTTATCTACAAGTCTTGTCAGTTTTTCACACTGCTTCAGAAAAAGAGTGTTTCTCACAGCACCACTGATGGTCACTTCTGCACTCTGAACCTATCCTTCTGCTTCAGCTCCTTTGCAGTCAGCCTAGGAGAAACCAGAGATTTTAAAGACCTACATCAGGTGTCCCAACATGGACATCTCCGCTCACCGCCCAAGTGGTTTCCTTACCAAAGCCTGTCAGCTTCTCAGGGTGACAAAACTCTGCCAACATCACTTCTCCGTGTCTCCTGCCCTCTATCTGCCTCTGTTGCCAAAATGGAGAGGAGCATTAATGCCAACAACGTGGAACCAGTCATCATCCCTCTGCTGCAGCTGCGCTGGAGGTTGGAAGGCAGGTTGTGAGCGGCAGCAGCACATCAAGCTGGAGAGCTTCACTTTACTAATTGACAAGGTGGAAAAAATCCTGACCTAAGGACCGAGGAGGACAGTCCAGCTCTTCCATGTTACACTGGGAAACAGTGGACAGAGAACGGCTGCTAACAGAAGTGCTGAGGTTGGTGGGATGGGGACTCAGATTGTACTTCAGCTGCAAAAGCGTGGAGCTGGTGGGGACACAACTTCATGGGGTTATGAAGCGTGGGAGCTCACGCCAATGCAAGTCTGGTCTCTGTGCACAGTCTGGGTTAATTCTGCAGTGAAGGGCTAATACAGGTGACACAGAGGAGCAGTACGGCAACCAGCGAGCAAGCCGAGCCAGCAATACGGAAAACTATCAAGCAGAAGCATATCCAATAAAATGGAGAGTTTCCACTCAAAACTGCAAGGCACTTCACCAATTCTACCCCCTTTGCTGCCACTGGTGCAAAGCTGTCTGGCAGCTGCAGGAGAACACAGATACGCTTTGTGCAGACTTTCTGCTGTCCACTGATGTGCCAAACTGCTCACTGCCAGCTCCCAGCCAGGAGCTCCTGCCTCCACAGTTCTCCTAACAATCCACAGCCTGCTCTAGACAAACATTTTACCTTCTAAAGAAGTCTAAACAAGCCCATGCAGCTTTTTCTCCAAAGGTGAATTGGGGAACCTGGGTACAAACGATGTGGTGACCAGGCTGAGGGCTGACCTCCTCCCATGGCACAGTCTGCAGAAAAAATGCCTGGAAATGGATGTCTGTGGCTTGAGAAAGAGGAAAAAAGGCTTGGCCAGAGGAAAAAAATACAAACTGCTGTAGGATCTTTAATGTCCCAGCAGAAAAGGTACAACTATACGTTTCAGAGGCTTATTTGAAAACCCAATGTAAGAAATAACTTCCATAAGTTGCTCCTGAAAAATGTACCTGCTTCCTTGGGAATTAGCTGCCCCTGCTAAAGATGTCAACTTGTGCTTCTGGGAAATCTGGGTATTAAAAGCCTGACGACTGCACTACAAGACCACCCATATTAAAAGCTCCTCTCATAGATTACTTCAGATACGAGTTGAACACACTGTTTCCAGGTGAAAGATGTCATTTCGAGCACCGTGGTTCTTTCAATTCAAGGTGCTGACCCACCAGAGGAATATCTCCAAAAGCCTGCCTCTGTTCAGCATGGCAGCTGTCACACTATCACTCTGCAGCCTCAAAGTCACTCTTTCAACTTGGACTAGGCTAATTCACCACGAGTTAATGCACATGTGGATAATCTGAGTTCACCCAGCAGCAAAGCCACGGTGCAGAGACCCAGGCAGCGCACGGTGCAGAACGTGCTGGAAGCCATCAGCGGTAGAAGTCTCCTTCTGCTGAAAAGTTTGGGCATGCATGGACAGAGACACCTCATGGTTAAAATATTTTCTGGTTATGTAGACTGAATTCTGTCAATTAAAAGATAAACATGCTTGGCAATTCAAACAAACACCTCAAAAGCACTGCAGTACTACTGTAAGGGAGCAGTTACTTAGTAGTGAAATATATAAAGCGTTACCCACTGCTATTGAGACAGCACTTATGACAGCTCCCAAGTAGCCCTGGATGAACTTGGATGTCGGAGAAGGCTTTGGAAAGAAAAACAAAACATATTTTCAATAAACAAACTTCTGGTTATTAAGATGTAACCAAGCTTTTTTGTTTGTTTTGGTTTTGTTTTATTTGTTTTAAACCAGAGACAGGTTTAATTTTGTCATATTGTTCTGTGACACATGGTCTGTCATCTAGCAGTGGCAAAAGCAAGGAAAATTGTAGCCCAATGAACAAGGTTAAAGGGAATGGAAAATTAATTGGCATTAAAATCATAATAATAGCAGCTTAAAGGAAGTATGTGAATGAAATTCAGCAAATGGTACAAAATTAGCATTCTTATACACTAGTGATGAACCCCAAACTCTCCACATTAAATATTTGTCTTTGAAATGTTATCTCATTGAGCTGGATGGTTTCCAACCCAGCTTCCCAGCTTGAGCTTCCCACATCCCAACACGGGATGAATGAAGGCTGAAGCGATGGAAGAGAGCAGGAACAGCCCCACCACTTCCCAGTACCACTGCTGGTAGCACATATAAAGTCCTCGGGAGACAGCAGCATGATCATAGAGCCACCTTCTGCTATCCAAAATCCCAGATACCATTTTGCTTTGTGCTCATTTGCATACCAAATTAAACCATTTCTTACCAGTTAGAACTATATACCGGTTCAGCTCAAAGGCATTGAGCGTTACACTTATGTGCCTCGAGTGATTTCAAGATCCTCATGCCATTTACAGCTGAGGTTTAAAATGGAAGTCTACACAGGAGAATGGCCAATCTACAAATTCATCACAGTGAGGACTCCGGAGTTTCTATTAACAGTGAAGAGACAAGACTTATGTTTCCGTGTCAAAACAGACCTAACGTGCTGCGCGCGCTGCATATGTTGGGTCTCCTCACCTTTGTCGCGTTGCGGTTTGCATAGTTGACGCAGGCATTGTGGCTCTGATTCAACCACTAAAGAGGGAACAAAAAGAGACAGGCATAAACATAACTTCACAAAAATTAAAAAAAATCTATAAATGTGGGAGTGCTGCAGGAAAACTCATCTCCCTTTGGACCTGCTCACAACTTGCCACCTCTTTTCAAAGGCTCATGCGTGTCCTACATCTGATTTAATGCCCTTCAAAGTGGGGAACAGAAGTCCCAAGGCACGCAGAGGGCAGCTCTGCTTTCCCTGCACGCTTGACGCGCAACTCTTCTCCTGGCCCAATCCACCTCCACACGACACCTCGGTGCTATTGGTCTTTATTTTCATCAGCACCAAATCCATACTGCTGTTAAGACGTAGCAGTAAGCCCAGTGGCCATTTCATCAGTCACTTATTAAGCTCCATGGTTCTCAAACAGAGGGTCATAGGAGGCTTCAGCTGAGGAACAGGAGATGAGCAGATGTACCATCTTAAGGATACGGATGCCACTAAATTGGTGTTTCTGTCCTCAACTTTTTGGAGCAGGATTTGTCACCAAAGCAGCGTGGCAGCCACTGGGGATGAGTAGCACCACACTCCTGAAGGGGTTTTGCCCACAGCAACTGCTGGCAATGTAAAGAACTTTATAGTTTTCATCCCCAAAACACCATGTTACCAGTTCAGAGCATGCCAGAACTGGAGTCCTCTCCAGCTGTGGCCAGAACTAAGATGGAGGAGGAGGAATGAAGTGAGGGTGAGGGGAGAGAGTGAAACAAGGCACTAAAACACGGGGATCAGCCCAGTCATCGCCGAGTTCATGGCCCAAGAGCACGCTTTTCCTTTTTTTTCCCTAGCCTGGAACTTTGGACCAAGCAAACCTTGCCTTTTTGTTTTCTTTAAATAATAATTTAAAAAAAAAAAAATTACAAAGTCAGCTTGCCAATATGTGCTGGAAATCTGCCTCAGTTTTCGAGATGCGGGGTTTTTTTTTTTTAACCCCCACAGCTCATATCTACATTAGCAGGTCCACAGGACCAGGCTAGTGCTAACCTGAGACATGTACATTTTGGGCATCAGCAACAACCGCTTCACTGTACGAGCCTGCTCCTATAGGACCCAGTGTTTGTTAATGCAGTAATATGCGTTGTCCCTAAATCCTATGCTATTTACCCGGATAAATCTCTTTTTCAGAGAGAGGTAGACACACTACTCAGATATTGTCCTTAAGCTAGAGTTTAAGCTGTCTTTAGGTTGAAGACATCCCCACTACCCGTTTCTTGACTCCATTGTCTTCCCAGGACACCCTCCTGGGCTTTTTGGGTGATGCCTCTCCAGGTTGCTACTCCTCCTACTTGCATTTTCCAGAAAGGGGTGACCCACGTGCCCATCACGGTGGAGGGAAGAGTTTGAGAGCCACTCGTCAAGCGGCAGTGGCTCAGACAGGCTACGACTGCCGGACTTGCCTGCTACGACTTCCTCCTTGAGTGGGCTCATTCTGGTTCTGTGTTTGAAATCTTCTTTCTAGTTTTAAAAGGATTATTCCATCCTTTTAAAGCCAAAAGTTTCTCCCAGCTATGCCGTGATGGTGGGAACAGGAGCTCCTCATGTAAACCATTTACAAGGCACCCAGCCCAAGCCAGCTATCCGGGCTGGTTCGCTCCTCACTCACGCAAGAGTAACTTCTCCAAAAGCCAACTTTTTCCATCGTAGATGTCTAAAAACAGGTGAGGCAAGTTGCCTTCAAAAATATGAATGAGTCTAGATGTCTCCAGCCACTATCCCACTCCCAGCAGGTAAAGCCACACGGCACAACTTATAGCTAGATACACCAAACCACGTACCAATATATTCTCCACGTACTGGCACGTACCAATATATTCTCAATTCTGCAGTCTTTCTAACACACTAGGCAGATCCCATTCTGCTTTGATATTTCTTAACTGCATAATTCTCTATCATCACTTACACTGTAGACAATAAAAAGACATTTGCAACTAAAAATAAGTCTGAAAGTAACTTGTTTTTGCATTTCAGTTAGTGCTGAAATTATACTTAAGTGGGGTGTTTACTATGGATAAAACTCATTCACGTGCACGCTTCCTCCCCTTACTCTTAATTCCCAGAATTTTAATGCGAAATAACACCAACGCCTCCCTACACACACACTTTTTTTCCCCAAACCCCCTGCAGCGCACTGAACGCAGAGGTTCTTGCCTTTGCAACGCACAGCTATTCGCAAAATTCCTCGGCACGGAGCCTCCCGCAGCCCCCAGCCCTGCACACACGTTGCACTTCCAACGGGAATTCACCAAGGAAGATCCCAACTACTTGACAGGGTGTCTTCAAAACAGCAGATAAAGGGCCTACATTTTCATGGAAGTACACACTATGCAATCATTTACACCTGTACAAAATGGGCCCAAAAAGCTGATTTTGAGATCCCGGGCTATTTTGCATCTCCCTTGCAATGGCACAAACTGCTGGGTGCTGGAAAGCGGACCCAACAGTTTGCTCACAGCCCATTCCAGACCTATCAAACCTTTCCCTGATTATATCCAGCCACATCATCTCCCCATGAACTAAAGCACTGCCAGTGCAGAAAAGCCACGTGCATCAGTTTGTCCTCTAGACACAAGTCAACGGCTGCTTTCCCGTCCGTCACGTTTTCCACCCGTTCAGTGCACGGTGGCAGACGAGTGTTACCTGCCAAAAAACAGTGGATGCCAGCGTCTGGTTGGGCAAGAGAAGACCAACAACCTGCAAGAGAAGAGATTTTTCTCATTAGCAAATGCATCGTTGGTTTGCTCTCAGTGCTCTTCTAGGCACGCAAACAGCAAACTTCTTTCTAATGACTTGAATAAATTACCTTCATTTAGGGCTTTATTTCATTATAGTCACTGAACTTCCCTTCAGCCTATTGTCACTCAATTTTCCAGTGGTGAAACTGGGTAACGTAGCTGCCCGTGAAAGCTTTACATCTTTAATTATTGCTTGCAACGCACCTTGAAAAAAGTCTGGCAGCAGATACTGTCCAAAGATTAGTTCATTAAAATATAATCAATTCTTTAATCCAGGTATTTCTGGAGAAATACACAAACATTGCATGAATGCAAGAGTTCAAAGTTGTTACTACTGGCAGCGAAGAGGGGTTTTCTTATTTTCCTTTGGCACGTTCGCTGTTTCAAGTACAAGAAAGAAATCCGATTTGAACATCTGAAGACAGGAGTGCCACCTGGAAGCACATGTGCTCCTGTTTAGGAGCCTGAATTTTGTTTTAAGAGAAGGGAATTGTTGATGTGTCATATCTGGAGCTGCAAAAACTCCTGCTTGGGTTACGAGCTCAGGTTGATGATCGCCGTCTCCCAGAGGCTTACGGCAGCCTGTCCCAGCACATCTGGCCAGGTGCTGCCTGCTGCTGCGTGAATGCGAGATGCCACAGGCTTTGCAAGGTCACCCATCGCAGCACCCAAGGCCACACACGCGTACGTTGCCTAATCAGTCCTGAGAGCATCCTTGGGACGTCTCAATACACCTCACAGGCACACCCTCTGCAATTCTTTAAAGGCTCCATCTCTTACAGAAAACGCAGCACTGCCAGACTCCTTCCTACCTTGTTTTATGGCAATCTTTCCTCTTAAAGCGTAAGAAGTTGAAGAAGAGGAAAGGGATGCAAAGCAAGGGGACTCTCAACAATCAACCCAACAAACACGGACAGGAGGATGAGTTCTTGGGTAAGAAACAGGTAAGATGAGATACTTCCTAACATCATTGCCCTTTTCGCCCATCCTGCACCTTAAATGTCTGATAGTTTCTGAAGAAGATGGGCTTCTTGTTGCAAAATCACACTTGCATCTTTCTTAAGAGTATAAAGACTGAACAACTCCTTTTAATTCCAAATACATTTATTTTCAGGACACTCATGTGAACTGAAACGTCTTCGAGGCATCTGGGCAAGAAGGCTGTGCGTTCACTCCCACACTCAGACCGTCTTCTGCACCATTTTCTTTAAGTTTATCCCTACAGAAGCTGAGAAGAAAGAAAATTTCCCTGTCAGAGCGCGGAGAGCCTGCTGCACGGAGGGCTAAACTAAAGCCATCTCCGCACATCTGCAGCGGCATCAGTTGAAGAGGAGGCAACTCTACGCTTAAGGACGTAAGAGAGAAATAACAACAAACAAAAGGGTAATAGGGTTGGGAGGCCTGATTTCATTTATTTTTCATTCCTTTCTCCTCCTCCTCCTCCAGCTTTTCCTCCTACAGCCTTTCGTGAAGTTACAGCTACTTTGTACGCTGGCCGAGCGCCAATCTGTGCAATTTACACTAATTTACCGCTTTCATTCAATATGTGGATCTTGTCATTAATTATTCCGTTGCCAGTCTTAGCCAAACGAATTCAACAGGCGACGAACCCTCTCAACCCAGGACTGACTTACGCCCCTGAAGCCAGCGGGCTAATGAGGCTCCGGAGGAGAGGGAAGTCTGCAGGCAGCTACTTACATTATCAGCTGAAGCTGAGTGCCGTGAAAAATAAAAGAGGAAAATAAATAAATAAAAAAGAGCACCCAAAATCTGTATGACTGAAAGAGGCACGTTTAAATGCAAACTCTCCATATGTGCAAGAGTCTGTCAAGAAATGTACAGTTTCACTTTTAATTACTGTCAGGGGAAAAAATAACTAAAAAGGAAAACAAAATAAAAAAAGCTTCTAAACACTAGAAAAGTACCAGCTACAAAATTTAATTGCCTATCAGGTGTGAACGGCCCTTCGTGGCCCCAAAGCCAGGGCTAAAGCTGCCGCTCGGACATCTGTCAGCTCTGAGCAGCCTTACGGTGCGTTTGCATTACGAGCTCTCCTCTTGCAAGCCCCAAGTCCTGCCTTGTGTGTCAGCAAGAGTCATCTGCAACACCCGGGTCTTCTCTACACTCTTCAAAACCTCAACAAGACCCCCCCATTTTTAAATGGCTTGGGAAAATAAGGTGCTTAAAGCTGTGGGTGGCAGCTGGGAACAGCAGCGCGGCTTCTGCTCCATCCTCACTGCCCGAGTGTTGGGCTGAATTTCCTAAATGCAGATAAATCTTCTTCCTTGGAGCCTTTCATCCCTGGGATGAAACACAAACCCAGGGTAAAAGGCTACAGCCCAGCAGCCACCTGGCACATCTCACCCCTACAGCAAAGGGAGATAATGCGAGCGGCTGGAATTGCTCCCTCCTGGACTGAAATCTAGGTGGGCAAACCCAAACTCTCCCTACACTTACATATACTCCATCCTGTTCCCACTCTGCCACTGCAACCGATTCTGGGGTCGAACCATAAACCTGAGCACGGAAAGGACGGAGGCTAAAAAGAAAAGCAAACAATTGCAACTCGGGGAAAGAATAAACAGCCGCAGGATTTGGTTGTGTCAAGGGAGTAGCTGCTTCGGCCAGAAAAGAAACGATTATTTTCAGCAAGACCTTAATCTCTTTCACAATGAGCTAAACCATACTGAATTATTTTGCATTAGCTATAGGGGGAAAAAAAAAACCCAACATGTATATAGGCAGCATCGTGTATTGACTGATAGGCAGTAAACCTGTTAATTCATAATCTGATCACGTTTCTGCTGGAATCTATGCGGGGTGTTTAATTGACCCCCGAATACCAGGACAATTAGCGCGGGTGCAATGGCACGCCGGCATGGCTTTGCGGGCGAGGACAGCCACGCTCGCTCAGCCAGAGCCCACCGCAGGCACATTAAGTCTCTCTTGAGGAAATCCCATCCCCCTATGTGAAATGCAAGACTCAAACTGTTTTTATGCTAGAGCAGGCTGCCAATTTTGTCACTAAATTTCACAGATCGATTGGCATAAATGTTACATTTTAATTTTAACATTTGAAACGTTTGGGTTTTTTTTTTTTTTTTTAAAATGACAAGAGGTTCCAGTTTATCCTTTACAGCTAGTGAAATTGGGCTCATCTGACAGCTCTCGGCTCCTCTGACAGCTCTGGATTTGGGCCGATTTCATTGTCAATTTGATCGTTAACTCATTTTTGTTTAACCTTTTCTTTTAAAATGCCCCATACAAAGTTACCACCAGACCCTTATGCACGACAACAAATAGTAACAGCCACGACGATTTCTGCTTTTAGGTGCTAGCAACCCCGCTATCGTCGTTTGGGAAAGGATTGTTACCTTTAAGCAAGTACTATGCCACGGTCCACTGGGTTTAGGAAGATTAAATTTAGCAGATTTTGCTCCTTCAACCATTTTAATATGCATGATCTAATAAGCTGAGCCAAGAGCTGGCGGCTAGGAGGACCAACTACCTTCTGGTATCAACTTTGGGTGATTTGGGGCAAAACTGTGTGCCTCAGTTTCCCCATCCATAAAATGGGGTTAATTAATTGTTCCTGTTCCTGAAGACGAGATGAGTTTTCAGCATTAGGAAGACAGGCAGAATTATCTCCCTTCTGGCTTTCGCTATCGAGAGCACCCAAATGCTTACAAATTTCACAATAACAAGTACAAACTAAAAACGCCCTTAGCAATAACCCCACGGAAAGCACTCGCCGTTTTAATTAATCAAGACGAGAGCGCACGACACCGGCCTCGCCGTGCTGTAGCTCGTCACGTTCAGGAAGCGACTTGTAAAACATGCAAATGAAAAAAAAAGTGTCCAAAGATGAAATCCAAGAGTTGCAGAAGTTGCATTTTGCAGGCAATGAGCTCATCTTGGTCTTCCCTTTCCAGAAGGGAAAGATAAAGCTGAAGATGTTGCAGGGGGCTGGGCAAACGACTAAAATAGATAAATAACCTCAAGCACAACGTCCACAGGGCAGGTTTTACAGGGCAAAGCCCTTGCTAATGTGCGATGGGAAAGGTGGAAACCCTGTGTGAACATGTCGCGAGGAGGTAAGGTGGAATTTGGAGAACCGTCTGCGAGTGCTAAAAAATGCATTTCTTGGTACTCGCAAACAAAGCGGGGAGAGATGTTAAAATACTTACGATGGGTGTTCCAAAGGGAATGTAACCTATTAAAAAAAAAGAAGAGATGCATGCATTTTAATACACAGTTTTGGGATGGAAAAAAATCACATCTAAGACATCTACCAGTTTAGGGTAGAAGCCACACCAGGCATGACGGGCTGCACGCACTTCCACCAGCTCCGTACCATCACGGGGACATCTGTGGACCTACACCTGATGCACCAAGCATCAACTAGAGCAGCCTCCTGATTTTTGCCCAATCTCCTTCCTATCCTCTATTTGCTTTTCTTGGGTTGCGGTCTAAGAGTTTCCCTAAAACTTACAACATCTTGACCCTAAAGTTTACTTCAGTAAACCCAGTCTGTGCCAGTAAGTGGTATTACTTCAGAGGGCATCCTGTTGTTGAGCTGGGCTAGGCAGCCAGCAAAAACTCAAATCAGCAGAAGCGAAGGGATGACAGCTCAGACCAGGAGCTGTTTGGTCCGGACCAGGAGGAGCTGGATGATGCTAACTGAGCTGACCTAGTGGCTTGCTGCCACGGAAAGGGGGAGATCCTGCCCCCCTTCCCAAGCTCAGTCACGCAATCTGTTCCCTCCCTTGTGCCAGCTCTGTTGCTCATCAGACCCTCCCACAACCTACCCTCACTAACCCAGGAGAAAACTCTCCAGCTTTCTGTGCCCCTTCCCCTCTTGTTGAGCCTGGTCCCACCACGGTAGCACACTGAAGACGCTCATGAAGCCACCTAACAAGCTGCAGAGCCCATGCCAATTAAGGAGCAGGACCATGCCACCATAGGTGGGACCTCTCTTTTTCACCATCTGCTTTATCAACCTCTCCGCTAGTGATTTTATACCAGGAGAGCTCATTTATTTCTACGTCAGTAGAAAAAGGAACAGGATATAAGCTGAAGAAAGTATATTTGCATCTTGGAGGAGAGAGGGATTATTTTAATCATAGGTGTAAGTTAAAGCTCTCTATATTAGAGATAAGCCTTTACCCCAAATCTTATTGAGCACCACAAAAATCAAATGCTTCACATTTTTCCCCTGCTAAGTCTGCCAATTTTTGTGCTAATTATAATTCATCTCTATGACTTCCACTAGAAGGTCTTAGAGCATTTTACCAATATTACTGAATTAAGCCTCATGGATCCAATTTACAGTCAGAAAGGGCAAAGACCTGAGAGGAAGAAAAATTAAAAAAAAAAAAACCAGAACACAGCAGCAAAGCAGTGGGTCCTGGCTTTTTTCCCCTCCACTTCACCCTCAACATCATTCTTCTTCAAAGAACTGGAGAACAAAACCCACCAACCCTGTTAATTTTCCCCTGTGCCCAGTATTCAGGTGAAGATGTTCCCCCCAAAAATACGGAAAAGGTCCTATTTATTTAAATAGGTCCTTTGGGAAAGGACCAAGGCTGCACTTGCATCCTCAAGAGAGCTATTCAACCCACAGCAGAGGTAGCTGTAGACCTGTGCATGGCAGAGGGACACCCCAAAATGGGAAGGAAGAGGTGACAATTTAATAATTAAGCAGCCCAGTTAGGCCACAGACAAGCTGATTCTTCCTGGGGTCCCAATGCCATGGCCCACTATTAGGTACCACTGCAAATGGAAAAACAGGGCTCATGCCATTCTCTCCTGGAGAGTAAAACTCTAAGCTGCTCGTTGGGCATCAAGCTTTGCTATTTACTACAAAATTAAAATGCCCATTATAGTGATGGATACCTCAAAAATGCCAGAAAAGACATTAGCTTGAGTCCACGTTAAAATATCTGAAGGAAAGGAGAATATTAAGCACTAGATCTCACATAGGCTTTAGGATCCTAATTCTCCCTGATTGCAAAAGGATTTAGACATTTGAATTCCTTTCTGATCTTGGTCTCAATGTTGACAAGATGCAATTCAAAAACAGGAGCGGGAAAAAAAAAAAAAATTATACAAATTCCCAGTAAAATTAATGATTGTCTGATCAGGACATACTATACCTGACATTCGGAAAGGCATGAAGATGGTCTCGTTTGTATCGGGATGGATGATGGCCTGTAAAACAGTCAGCAAACAGACACGGTGAAGGCACAGCAACAGTTGGCAAGGCGCAGCGAAGCCAGCGCTCAGCCTCTACAGATATAGCACCTTCAGCCCGAGAGCACCGGGGGACTTCATGCGTCTCGGCACCCTCCCTGCTTTTGCAGCTCCGACCAAAGGCAGTTATTGTTCGGCAGCTGCCACAAAACCTCCTCCTACCGCTGCTTTCCCCTCTCCTTAAATAATTTAGCATACGTTAATAATTTAGAAGTAAATAATTTAACCTGAAATATAGAAAGTGGTTCTTTCTTGGTACTGTAATGTCCCCAAAGGTCACCCACTGCTGTACCTTAACCCCGGGGGGGGAAATGCAGATTTAGGAGGGGAAAAGGGAAAACTGTTTTCTGTCCCTGCCTGTTTTCAGCATCTCCACCGAGGTGCAGCTTAATGTCCTGGCTGAAACTCTGCCCTGGGGAAGAAAGGAAAAGCCCTCGCTGGGGCAGGGGGGTGGGAGGGCAGGACTGCCTGCTCGGGAGGGAGCGAGGGTGTAAATCACTTTATGCTGCCCGTGAAGGGGATGGGTTGCGGGAGACCCCCTGTAAGGACTTGTGTGGCTCAGCCACGGTGGACGGATTCAGACCAAGGAACATCTTCCCCGTCTGCAGGTATGAGCCCGCACGGCACATCATAGGAAACCTGAAATGCTGCTTCAGGATCCGGCTGAGTTGGGGTAAAAACGTGCAGGCATGGCCCGCTCCGGTTGTCACCATAAGGGTCACCCAAATAAAATCCCCTCACATGCCACGGGATTTGGATTTGCCAGATAATTCAACCTTTACATGTATCCGCAGCTTCTCAGCCAACGCTGGCGGCTGTGGACAGCCCAACCTCCACGGAAATCCTATATCGGTTTTACTGATAAACAGACAACAAAGTTCACTTGGCCCATTTTTACCAAATTCTACAATGAGCCCAGGAGGTTGCACTGGCATTAACTGGCTGGGGATGAAAAATCAATCCCCAAGCGATCTGGGACTGCACAGGAGGAAGGTACGACACAGTTACAAGCCTTACCAAAGAACTGTCAAACTATTTTCAAAAGACTGGAGACAAGAAATCTCTTGACTAGACAGGAAGGAGAAAATGAAGACATCAAAATATATAAATACAAAAAAAAAAAATCAGACTCTTTGGTGGCAACAGTGTTCTCTGCATTTACATTTCTGTGGCAAGACAAAACAGCAACTGGCAAAGTCAGTAATGGAGGAGAGGACAGCATCGGTTAGCAAAAAGGAAAAAAGCAGCAATAGTTGAAAACAATCATGAAATATAAAAAAAAAAAGCGTATTACCTGCTTTATTTTTTGAGCTCCCCACAGCTAGAAAAATAAAAGAGAACATTGCATTTAAAAAACACGGGCAGTGTAGTTTTATACCAAACCCCAAATATTCATCTTTTAGCTGCTGTAGTAAACGAACGGAGGGACTGCTGTAAAACAGACTCATTTTCTGCATCCTTCCAGGATGTATTTAAAGATCCTTTACACACGCCGAGCTCCTTCAAATCTGTGTGGCCAGTACGACCAGCAAGGCAGAGAAGATATTCTTTCTTATATTGAATGGTAAGAAAGAATAACAACAGCCAGACTTCACGCTCTGCTATAAGCTTTACGAGTCGAGAATTATCTCAGTAACTCTGCTGCACGTAGATCTGAAGGTAAATTTAGCGCAGCCTCTCCTTGGACGAGCTTCCTGCGGAAATTGAGGCTCGCTGGGGAACAAAGGTGGAGCAAGCCCCACAGGGAAATACAAGAAGTATCTCTTCAAATAAAACCTGGATTCAGAATAAACCACCGCTAGTTTTCATTTTTCACAGGGAAACGCATTGAAAAAATGCTCGTGAAGAGGAAAAATCTCATTTAAAACTCTCACGAACGCCTACTGTTATTTACTGACTGTAATTCAGCAGCATCAAAACACCTCAAATCTGGCTCAGACAGCGGAGATCTATGAGCACCGAGGAAGAAACATCGTACGTGAGGTGCAGGTAGAGCTAATGAGTAGGTGCACAACATCAAAAGATGCTCTGGCATATACATAAACCCATAGTTTGCCCCCTGCTTAATAAAGCCAGAGGGCTTTCCTCCACAAATTACACCTAAATGCAAATTATAATCTAAAAAAAAAAAAAAAATCCCCATTTTGAGGTATATAATTCTAGAGAAGGATGAAAAACCAGGTCTCCTGTAAACTATCACAACAGATTAATTGCTTTTACTATTAAGAACTGTTCTGTTCAGCTCAAGTCTGGCTTCAACTTCCAGGCACCGGCTTGTGTTACACCTCTGTCTGACAGTCTCCAGCCCTGTCTATTTTTGTTCTTCACGCAGGTACCTGGAGCTGCTAAAGCCACCTTTTAACCTTCGCTTAAAGAAAAAAAAAAAAAAAAAAAAAAAATTCATCCGAGCCAGGAGACTGGCTGTTTCGTTGGCAAGGCGTGTTTGCCAATCTTTTAACCACCCTCGTGGCTCTTTTACATCTTTCCAATTTGTCAACATCCTCTTGAATCGAGGACGCCAGAAAGCAGACAAATTATTCCAACAACAGTTGTACCAGTGCCAAACCAAGGGTAGGCTAACCTGATGAGTTCTGCTCTTGCTGTTGATGAATCCAAAGACGGCGACAGCTCTTTTTGCTTGGAGAGTTCACGATTACCCACCAAAATACCTACCCGAGCGCCGCGCGCATATTCGGCAATACAGGCATTCACGCTTAAGATTTTATTGTTATTACGGTATAAATTAAGCCCCATTCTGCCATTCTTCTTCACCTGAGGTTTAGTGCCTTCCCCAAATTCAAATCCATTAAAATACTGTTGGAATAAGGTAATTACTCTATTATAAATAGCATAAATTGACCCACTGATACTAGAAACCCCAGTATTTCACTCCAAATTCAGCTCTCACTCCAGAATTGAAGCTCCGTGATGAACTCCACTGCGTGCGATGAGTTACTGGGATATCTAGATGTCACAGGCTGTCCTCAGGGCTCTTTCCCGAGGAAAACTTCCCTTTTTAAGGAAAATCATTATGCCCCATTTTACAGTTGAAAAATGGAGGTTGAGGGACATGAAGAGACAATCTTTGTGGTTGGCAGAGACAAGATGTGTCTACCCTCACCAATCCTAAAATCCAAAGGGTGGGAGGCTGCATGCCCAGACAGCTACCAGAACTTTCCTGCACCTGCCTGCCCACCAGCTCGAGAACTTCCACGGACTGAAAGAGGAAGTTCTCGAACTGCAGGAGACTACCCAAAGCGTCCTAGTAACCCTGTGGCTGCCCAGGTCTCGTGTATCTTAGCTGTGAAACGAAACCACAGGATATTCCTCTCCAACTGCAAGCACCAAGACTAGCAAAAAGGAAGAGGGATGGTTTCTGAGCCAGCACTATGGCTTTTTTGGTCAAATTATCTAATTTCATTAATTGATCCCAATATTTATGCATTTTCCTGCTGCAGTGCAAATATTGTTAGAACATGCGATTTCATTACTTCTCAGAAAGAGACTTTACAAGATGCACCTGATGAGTCACCTAAAGATTCTGCCAGCTCATTTTCACTTTTTTATCCTCTAATTCATTTTCTGTCTGCAGCATTTTTCAATAGCTCCAGTATTCTGACGAGTCTTGCCAGCTGGGGGGCTCGTTTCTGAGAGCAAGTCTCTATTTTTGCTGGGGATTTCATTCACGCTCTCTCCGGCCATCTTCGAGAAGCAGCCAGATTTTTATCTCATTTACACAAGCGTGAATCCAAAGCATCTCCCCTGGAGCACGTGGAACGACTCCAGATTCGTGCTCAATTTATGTTAGATTTAGGTCCACGATCTCTAAATATAGTCAGCCTATACTGGGTGGGTCTCCTGTAATAGATGATCTCCCTTTACATCAGCTTTGCAGTATATTACTGGCTCAAAGCTACATAGGGGTTTTGTCACCGTTCAAATTTGGGTGCAAGAACCAAACCTGCTCATAGATGGATTTACTCCAAAGAAGCCCAAAGGGCGAGGGGGCAGGAGTGTTGGAGCACTGTTAACATATTCCACTATCCGCCCAGCAACCTAAGCAGGGAACGATGGACAAGCTTCTCCAGCCTGTGGCCATTGCAACCTTCCACTAGGACAGATCAGGCTCTGCTTCATGGAGATGTCCTTCATGGTCATGGAGGAATCGGCTCCAGGACTGTTCGCAAGTGCTCCCAGCACCAGCATTTCAGGACACTAGACTCATGGATGAGATTTCCATCCATCCTTCCCAGGATTCTGTTCTGTCTACAATTTTTTGAGGAAGAGATACTCACCACTTTGCTCACCACCTACAGCAGATAGCTTCAAAACCCTGAACTCAGGAACTGAACTCAGTGACACAGAAACATTATGAGCTTACGACGTTTAAGGATGGGTATCAAAGACTGCCACGACCTAAAGAGAACCAAAGCTGCGGTAAGGAGCCAGAGACTGAAATAACTCTCGGGGAATAGATATGATCTTTGGTTGACAGGACATTCATTAGCATCCCTTATCTAGCGGCAGAATTGCAGCTCAGAGATAGCTTTCAAAAAAAGTATTTATTTAAAGAATATACCCACCCCAAATCTATTAACTAACACCTGCCACTATAAAAACAGTACAAAGGGTACCAGTTTTTCTTAAGACATTAACTTCCCTCCTATTAAATACAGTAAGATTTCATGGTCCTGGACTCAAAGATGGGATTTTTTTTTTTCCCCCTCTGCACAAAGTTTCACCTAGATTAGAAAACCATGTTTACAAATTGTTCACCCTTGTTTACAGCCGGCTCCAACTCTGCTAAAAGAAGCGGCCAGCTCCAGCCTACGCGAGTGCAGTTGGCTCTATCCAGACCACCTACTACATCGCTGAAGCTGGCCTCGGGTGTCTAAGGTCAGGAGAGCACTGGCAGATTCACACCACCTACTCCCTTGCGTTGCCAGCAACCACCTCCCTACAGTCAATGCAGACACAAAGGCAGATTTGATGTCGGGAATCTGTAATAGATGCTCTAACGCTTCCCTCCCTCGACTGTAGGCACCAAAAGGATCCGAGTCCCATGCATAATATAGTAGTAGACATTGAAATGATCTTAAATCCATGGGTGCGTGCTCCGGATATGGCACGTCAGGAATAACTCTACAGAGAAAATCTCTTACTGATTAACCGCACGTTAAACATGCATAATGACAAGGCACAGTTATTTTCAAAGATCTCATGAGGGATCACACGGTAGATGAGCCCTATGTGTAAGAGAAAACACAGCAGTTTAAGTTCTGCAAAGACTAAGTGGTCTACCTGTGTTAGACTTTGCACCATCATCACTCACAACAGTTTGCAAAATTTCCCTAGTAAAGACAAGGTCGAAGAGAAAATCCTCAGAAGAATGAGTATTTTTAGTTAATTTATTTCATCTGTCCAGCCAAGTGGAGACAGAGTTCCATCTCTCAAAAAAAAAGGGGACCTCATCCCCTTCCCGCTCCATCAGTGAGGTTCTCACCCTTTCACGAGACCCCACCTGCACCCAGGAAATCTTCATTTTAATAAGGTAACAGCCTGGAGTTTGCACCCCATCAGAAATTGCCAGTAGTTTCACACTCCAGGAGTTGTAAGGTTTATTAAAGCAAAGCTCGGATTATCTATCCCACACTGAATTCCAAATATTGGGTGTTGGGAGCGGAACGTGTGATGCAGCAAAGCTCGTTCTGAAGAAGAGCAAGCTGCTTTCATGTGCGTGGCCATTTGGAGGGACGGCCTCCAAAACCAGATGCACTTTCCAATAATCCCAATTGTTTAAATGATACGAAACCAAAGGAAAAAAAGAAAAAAAAAAAAAAGAAACAAGAAAACCTTGCTCAAAAGGCATAACTTAACTGTTGGAAAATTCACTGAGGAACTCTTCAGACAGGAAACAGGGATCTGGCATCGCATTAGTGTCAAGTGATAGTGATGACTCTGAACAAGTTTTAACTTCATTCTAGATCCCTTAACTGGTAGTCAAATGGCCAGGGTAAAACACCGGAGGTGGGACTCATCCCCTCTAACAGACGTCTACAACATAATAAATACCTACTGCGGCAAATTCTCTGGATTTCCTTTATGTCAGTGGGCAGAAAACAAGCAGTTCGACTCATCGCAGCTAGATGACCTGTACAGGCTGGACAACCTGCTCCCCAGCAGTGCTTGCTTCTCTCCGTTGACTTTAAGATGGGACCTACATGATTAGTTCTGGCTCAAATTGGGTTTGGCTCAAGATGTAAAAACATCCCAAAGCGTCAAGCACCTGCAGCTCGTACCAACTTCAGCATGGCTTACAAA